CTAAATAGTGGGACTTTGCATGTTTGACTAATTACTCATTTCCTGCAAGTGCAAAACCTAACAGTTGCATGAAAACAGTTACAAGGGTTAGTTAGTAACAGGTTGTGTGTTATAAGTGTGTTACAAAGAATTCAGCCTCCTCTGAAGCATTTCTGTTTAATCTGAGGTCAAAGGCAGAGTGGATCTCTTGAGTCGGTTTCTACTTCTGGAAATTTCCCCTTTAAGGCACTAATGGGAATGTCTTTCTGCCACGAAGTGGCCAAAATGATCATGTTAGTGTTAGTTTATTTTGTAGTTTATAGTTCCCACACTTAGTTACAGTTGGGCAGATAAAATCTGAAGGGACATCGATCATGAGTGTTTAGCCTGAAACTCTAAGTAGACTAGAAATTGCTAACATTTATGGGATTGGTTCATAACCCTGAGTGGTATTTACCTGGTGTGTCAGACTTTAGGTAAAATCACAGAAAAAAAAAATACTCTGCAGAGAATTTCTTGAATTCATCTGGAATTCTGGAAAACAGCTCCCCTGTTAAAACATAAAAATGTGTTTTTATAACCACCCATCGCAAATCAGTATGGCATTTCACACACTTTATAATTGAAAATAAACCAATATGAAGTTTTCATAGAAAAATACAGTATATTCTTATGACTCGGTTGGATGTCAAGTGGCTACAAGAATAGAAGAAAAGAAAAATAAGAGTAAGTCCCTCTTCTCCAAGATAAACAAAGCCTTTGACAAAGGCATCTGCCAAAGCCATGGAGACAGATTTCTTTTTTTTTCAGTAATTGTTGACAGTAGGAGAAAGAACTAAACTCCATTCAGATGTACATTTGCAGAGAGGGACCTGCATTTTAAAGGAAGGAGTAGGGGTTGGAGTGAGAAGGGGCTTGGGTGCAGTCAGTGCAGTAAAACTTTTGTAAAGCATTGGTCAGTGTAAACAATAAGGCCGCCCGTGATTGCTAGCTGGCAGCTCTGGAAGTTCTGATTCTGTCCTCCCACAGCGACTGGGACACAGAGGTCCCCTTCTTCCCGAGGATGACATTGCAGGTCCTTGAGAAAGACACTCCTGAGCTGTGGGAGATACAAATTCATCTTAAAGGGACAGAGGAAGGATTCTTAGTTCTAAACCCTTGTTAGTAAATACTCGAAGAAAGTGAGGTCAAGGCCCATCCCCCGTGTTGCTGGAACAAATAGTAAATTCTTTGACAGCCCTGAGCTTTTGCAGACAGGAATACACACCTCTCTCTCTCCCTCCCCTCCTCCNCACCCCCGCCTCACCCCACCCTCTTATTCCCTCTTACTGTATCTGACAGTTTGAATTATAGGAAACAGAAACTATCACTATATGTATTTTAATCAGAAAGAGTTTTAATACAGGAAATCGTGTGTTTGCACAGAGTGCATTGGAGGCTGGGCCTCCAAGGCTGACCCCGTATTGGCCCCCCTGGCAAGCTTTTGCCTCTGAGGCCTTTACTAGAGCTGTAAGTTCTAGAACAATCCCTGGAGCTGTCATGCAGGAGTCAGAACTCTGGAATTAAGAAGGTGTCCCTGCTGCCTCTGTGACTGCCTTCCCCCACTGAGGGCACTGGAAAGTGGGCTCCCAGAGCTTCAAGCTGGGCAATGACTCTTGACCCCCAAGAAGCTGAATGACAGATGCTTTATGTTTGCTGTAGGAGCATCTTGTGTTCCTGCAGCCGTGCTTGTAAGCAGAAATGCAAGGACAGTTTTGACTTTGCTGTACTTCCAAATCTTCCACTAAACAGAAACTAATCGTACCCAGAATGCTAGCTACAGAGATGGCGTGTGTCTTTTCAATTTTCTTTTGCTTTTCTCCCCTTGCCCATCTCTTAAATACATGAGTCCACCCTTGTTCCCCAGAACACAGAACATTGCCGGGCTGTGAAAATTATACATGAAATAGGTGCATTCCATGCTTTTATGTATTGGATCTTCGGAAAAATCATGACGTATTTTGTCTGTGTTTTTCAAAGGTTGTTTATTTCTATAAGGAACAAAAATAATGATATATTGCCCGTTTTGTTCGATAACCTTTTGCCATCTTTCAGTGAGCTTCATAATTCCTCGTTCATAGAAGGACCTGTCTTTATTTGCAAAAAACTGAAAAAGGTGCTGATTTACAGCCTCATCTGAATTGAACATTATACCACGCAAGGAGTTTTGAAGACAGCGAAACAAGTGGAAGTCTGACGGCGCAAGGTCCGGAGAGTATGGTGGGTGTGGCAACACATCCCATCCAAGCTCCAATCATTTTTGATGGGTGATCAAACTTGTGTGTGGTCTCGCATTGTTGTGATGGATCACAACTCCTTTACAATGAAGATCTGGATGTTTCTGGATGATGGCTTCATTCAAACTGTCCAATTGCCGACAGTACACATTCGAATTGATTGTTTGGTTCCTTGGTAGGAACTTGAAAAACACGACACCTTTAAAATCCTACCACACTGAGAGCATAACCTTCCTCTGATGAATGTCTGCTTTTGATGTCATTTGAGGCGAATCATCACGTCGGGACCAAGACTGTTTGTGAACACGCTGTTGTAAACAATCCACTTCTCATCACCAGTTATCAGTCACCTCAGAAAACGATCGTTATCCTCACGTTCAATGAACATATTGCAGATGTTTATATGCGCTGTCAAATGAACTTCTTTGAATTCATGCAGAACCCAAATATCAAGCTTGCTTACATATCCCAGCTTCTTTAGGTGGTCGTGAAGGCTTGAATGATGATGGATGTTCAGTGTTTCTGCAATCTCTCGTGTTGTGTAACGTGGGTTTGACTGGATCAATGCCTTTATTTTGTTGTCATCAACCTCGGTGGGCCTCCCTGACCGAGGAGTGTCGTTGAGATCAAAATCACCAGCACAGAATTCCGTGAACCATCGTTGGCACTGACGTTCTTGTAGAGCATTGCCACCGTAAACTTTATGCAGCTTTTCACTAGCTTGATGCACGTTCTTCCCTTTATGGAAGTAAAACAGTAAAATATGGCAAAAATGCACAGTTTGGTCTTTCATCTTCAACTTGTAAAACCTCCAAAACTCAACCAAATCACTCAGTTTTTTTTAGAATAAATCTAGAACTGTCAGCTGTCAAATGACATAGCAATAACATAGATGTGAATGACTCTAGTAATTCCAAAAATGAACTAGCGCCATCTGTCGCAAACATGTGTCATGACTTTTCCGAAGACCCAGTAGTTCACAGCAGAGCCTGGGGACAGGCGAAGGGCCAGTGTCCTACAGCTCGGATGCTGGAACAGAATTGTGCGAACAGGGCTTTGGAGACCCAACGAAGCTCCCTCTGGATGGACTCATCCAGAGAGCGACCCTCATGCTGTCCATGCCAGGAGGACAACAGGGCTGCCCACTGGGGAGAAGCTGCAGGGTCCTCTTAGGGGAACAGTAGGCTGGAAACTGTCAGCTGAAGAATGCCTGACAAGCTAAAGGAATCGCCAGTTGTTCAAACAACCCCCATGTAAAAAGGGAGTGGCTCTAACTGTAGAAAATGAGCGTGGAGATGAGACAGTCTCTGCAAACATGAAGCCCTGACTCCTGAAAGAATGATAATGTCTCAACAAACGCCGCTTGGTCTTTCTCCAACCTGCTTTACAGCAGTTGCTATAGGAATTAGGTGACACCCCAGAACCGCTGCCCCGAGGGCTGTTTCCCCTCGAAGCTTCTAACTCTGTATTAATTTCTTAAATTTAAAAGAAGCAGAACGTCCTGAATACTACGGGCATAATCATTCAGTTGTCTGATTCATTTAACAAGCACTAAGTGCCAGCTTTGTACTCAGTGCAGAAGAAAAAAAATGCCTCTACCTGCAAGGAGGGATTTTTAGAGAAGAAGCAGATGTGCAGACACGATCTGAAGGGGTGATGTGCAGAAAGCACTAGGAACCCAGAAAAGACCTCTCCAAAGTTACTTGGTGACACTGGCAGAGGCTTCTGGAAGAAGTAAAGGCTGAGCAGGAATTTTCTAGCTGGTTTAATAGGTGGGAATAAAAGGATGTTTTAGGGAGAAGAAATAGCTTTTCCAACATCAGTTGTCCTCAGTGAGAATGCTGTGAATACTGTGGGAATATATGGGAAGGGTGGTTTGGGATGGGATGGCTTAGTGAGGATGCCCTCAGAACATACGACAGGTCAGACACTGGCCTCCAGGAGGCTTGGGGTGTGGGATTTTGTAGTAGAAGCTCAGCCAGGAGCGGTTTCCTGAAGTCAAGGGCTTTGTGGATGGGGTAGAATTGGACCACGGCTTGGACTGGGCGAGATGGCAGGGACAGTTCAGGTCTGGTGCGCGATGTGCACCGCAGTTCACAGGTGATATTCGTGGGCTCCAGCTGTGGGAAAGCAGGCATAGAGTCTGTGTTTGGCAGAGGCACACCTTCAAGACGGGCAGAAGTCAGCGCTGGGCATGTTACTGGCACACGTTATTGGAAGCTCACAATGCAGGGGGCATTTCAGGGAGTGAGCTAAAAGAGGAGCAGAAAGCGCTCATCTGGAAGTCTGTAGTTTCAAGTACGGGCTGAGCCTACAATTAGTTCTGTCGTGGGGGTTGTATCGCGCGGCTCTGATTGTGTGGGGTCATCAGATTTCATGATCTGTAAAGCTACTTCTCGTTCTCAAGTGTTTCGTGTCTTCGAGAAATGTTGAAATTTGTAGTGGCTTTTATGGTGGTATTACTGTTATTTTGCCTCAAGAAGGCAGAATTAAGTTTGGGGAACTGGGATTTAGATCCAAAATATTAGCTGTGTAACTTGCCATTGACCATTATTTGTGAGGTTGGGATAATGTTTGCTGTGCCGGCCCCACAGGTTGTTTTGTGGCTCAGATGTGATGGCTGTATAAAGATTGTGTACATATTCTATGAAATGCTCCGGGAAACACAGTAATAGCTTGGTTGGCGAGCATAATTCGTTCCGGAAACAAACTACTCATATTGCAAGACATTGCACGTTTATTGTATTAAAATGTATTAGAGATATTTGCTCATCTTGCGGAACACTCAAAAACCACGTTGCTCGCAATGCAAAGTTTCACTGTATTTTTAAAGAAGTCACCCAGTGTCCTGATAATCTTGTGAGAGGAGCCATAATCTGGATGTAAGCAATCCCTGTGAAAAGAGAGTAACAAACACACAGGAAGATACATTGAATGAGATGCAGATGGGAAATAGAGGGTGACTCATAAGGTTGTTGGAGAAGAGGGTGAGGTAGAGATGGGACCTGCCGACGGCGATAAGGGAGATTCTCACCAACATTGTTTTCAGATCGCTGTGCTCGATTCAGGCTCTCAGGCTCCCTTCAGATTGAGAGAATTAGCATCTGCACCTTCACAAGATGCCCAAGTGGGTGGTGTGCCCATGAGAGCCTGAGACCCAGGGTCCTCGGAGACACCAGAAGCGAGGGTCGCATCTCATCCCTGCCGTCTCTGACCTGCTGGCGGTGAGGATGGGCCAGGATCCTGAGTGGCCCCCGTGCCTCAGGCTCTCAGCTGGACCTGATTCAACTCGATCCTGACCAACGACATACGGGGATGATTTCAACCAACAGCTCTGCTTTCTGAGGAAACCGGGCAGAGACAGAACTCTGTTAACGTTACCCAGAGGGGGGTGTTATGAGACCTGAATAACAAACGGTACAGAATTTAAATATAAAGAGAAAGAGAGACTCTGGTGAATATTATAGGACAAAGCCAAGAATAAGAAAAATGCTGACCTTAGCCTCAGCCGACAACTTGACCCCAATCTCCTGACAGACCCTGCTCAGAACCACACGGCTAAGCTATTTCTGGAGAAGCTCTGAGGAGATAAGTGCATGTTGCTTTAAGCTGCTAAAAATAGTCCAGTCAAACCAAATCAAATCAAACTTCTGTGATGGACACTAGAGAAATCTATTTGAATGCAAATAGATGATATAATACAGTAAATCTTTGTTGTCTGGTTCAAAATCAAGCCAAAATGAGAAATTTACTATTGAATTTCAAGAAGCACATGGAAGAAAACCAGATTTTAGAAAGATATTTGCATCTCTGTAATGTCCACGAATATTTTCATAAAAAACCTTTTAGATGATAAGGGGATAATCTATGTTTCTACTCTGGAAAGGAAAATAAAGTATAAAGCAGATACATTGTACCAGGCCATTTCTGAACTGAGCAAGAGGGTTTCTTGACGCACTGTGAATAAAGCCAGAAAATGACAAATGCCAAGGGGACATTTGCAGGAATTGGCGTGAGCTCCGACTATAAAATCTAGGGTCTGTTTCTGCTCGAGGCTCCTGCAGTTGCTACCATAAAGGGAGCACTTCAGGCGCTGTGCTCTGTCACGCGGCTCCTTTACTCAGGAATTCCTCCAACCCTTGATATGTAGCTGGGGGAATGCAGGCCCTGGAGGTTGTGTCTTATGGGTTGCTATGGAAGTCTAAATATTATGAACAGAGCGGTAGTATATGACACAGCAGTGGTCTCACGCCATGGCATATGGCAGCTAGAAATCACCTTCACGTCTCTGAAATGTAAGCTCCTGGCCTAACAGAGTGGCATGAGCATCTCTAATATTCAGAATGAATTCCCCTTTATGGCACTAAATGAGATCCTAAGTGGAGATGTGAAGACTTCGAAGGAGCTCTAGACCATGGAGGGTCCTGGAGACCCCAAGTAGGAAATGCACAAGCCGACCAGGGAAGGCCAAGTGAGGGACAGGCTGGATAAAGAAAGAACTTGGTGGCTTCGGGGGTCTCCATGGTAATATTGGTGTCACAAATAGAGCTGTTTTAAAGCTCACCCCAGAGATGGGGTTGGAAGGAAACAAGATAACCCCACTGGGGGCTCAGGGAAGTCACCCAAAGGGAAGGGCCCCCTCCTCCAACTCCCTCGCTTTGATCAGTGGGACCCCAGCTCTCACTCTGCTACTCAGGCTTTGATGTTTGGTTCTCAGGTTCCAATAATTGTTTATGAAACGTTCAAATTTTAAATCAGGAGTTCCCCATCATAAAACATACCTCTTCCCCCCCTCCCCTTACTGTAGTTAAGGTAAAGTTTCATTTAAATAAGAAACCCAGCTTTCTGTGCACCGTATTCAATAACAGTTCTGTGAACGTGAATTTCTTCTGCAGCCGATGTTCGTTTCCTCTCTGAATGAGCGGTTTTCATCTGTGAATTCAAAACACACCGAGCCTACGTCACAATCTGCGCTGAGTGAACAGGCACCCAGGGCAGCTGGGCCTTTGTGGCTTTTCCTGTTTTCTTTCCTTATTTTTCTCCTCTTTCTTGGATGATTGCTATTGAATGCTTTCATGTATTTATTTTTTAATTAAAGAGGGAAGAATTGTTTCTCACAAGTCCTTTTGCCTGCACCAAGATATTCAAATTAAAAAGTGGAAGACTTTCAAAAGAGTGAAGTTTTGCTTTGCAAAAGGAAGGAAAATCCATTCATCTCAATATCTGGTGAAGTTTCACTAATAGTGGAAAGAATCCATTTCATGTTGCTTCATCATGAAAATAACATGGAAATAAATTTTTTAAAAAAAGACTTTTTCCTTTTTACATCAGTTTGGTTTTTTTTTTTTTTAAGACATGCTTATACCTGGATATTCTTGTTTAGAATACTCCTTAAAAAGCGTGGGAGGGCTAGAAAAAAGTATACTAAGAAGAGGAAGTTTAAAAATATCTATTGAATGAAACTTGTCTCAGAATTATTTCCAAACATCCAACTGCCCGGTTTTTCTTTCTTTTTTGGTGGGGCCATTGATACTCAGTAGAAGAACGTCAGCAAAACAGGACCCAAGCTCAACAACAAGCTACAGTCAACCCAAGGCATTGTAAGAACTAATCAGGTTCTGTGACATGATTGGTATTACCTTGTACCAAATGTTTGAAATAAGTGGCTTGCTCATCTCGTCTTGAAAATGGGCTTTGCTGCAGAGACTTTTTTTTTTTAAGATTTTTATTGGGGAATTGGGGGGATGGGAACAGTGCTGGGGAATTGGGGGAAGGGGAACAGACAAGTTGCTGTCCTTTTTGTTCTTCAGTCTAGTTGTGGAGGACGTTGCTTCACTGGCCCAAGTTGGCACCATCATTGCACTCTTCCCGGCTGAGGCAGATCAGTCGCCGGCTTCTGGATGGCCGCTCACTGCGGCTGCTGGCCGCTCACGCTGGCTGCTGGCTACACACAGTAGCCCATGGCAACCACTGCAGCAGGGGCTGCAGCCTACGCCGTCGCCAGCGACTCACGGCAGCCCAGCTCCAGGTTGAGCTGTTGTTCAGCATCTTAGCTGTAGAGGGCAGTGTCACTGGCCCTCATGTGGGATCCGAACTGGGGCCCTCTGGCGTCCCAAGCGAGTTCTTTACCATAGTGCCACTCGGCCGGCCCTGCAGAGACTTTCATGACAGTCCTCATAAGAAATGTTTTTCTGTGCATGAAGCCTGTACAACTTGAGCTTCCTTCAAGCATAGAACAGGAGATGAGAATGAAAATGGATAAACATGGAAAAAAAATAGCTCGACTTTATGTAACCAGTCAGAAGCGTCTAATCGTTGCCCAAGCAATTAACATAAAGCTGTTTACACGTCTGACATGAAAAGTGATTCTATTCAAAGGCATCAGCGGTACAGTGTGCTCAGAGTGAAGGTGCTATCAGCAAACAGATGAGAAACCAACAGGATTCTACAGTAGCTCTGTGGTCTTCCTGCCTCCCACTGCCCAGCTCAGCGACACACCATGCCCTCTGAGGGGGCAAAAAGTGCCTGCTGCCTAGTTTCTAGGCCGTTGAATTTCTGAGGAAGGAAGTAGATTAGTCAACAGTGTCATCTGTAAGTGGCAGGACAATGACACAGAGATCACTGATACTTCATATGCTTCATCAAGTGACAGGGTGCATGGTGTCATTTAATAATTTGGGGAGATGTGATGTGTTACCTTATCCTTTTGGCAAAGCTTTGTTGTCTTCCTTTGGTTAATGGCTTCACAGTGGTTGCTCAAAATGAAAGAATAACCAAATATGAGAATGAACGTAGTTCTCTATTATAGCCTTCTCAGCTATGGGTGGCTGTGCCACCCAGGGGGCGTTAAATGACTTCAGGAGGTATTTTTGATTGTCATGACTTAGGTGGAGTAGGAAGGGCTAAAGGCATCTCGTGGTTGGAGGCCAGGGATGGCGGTCAACATGCAGCAGTGAACAGGATGGCCTCTCATGGAGAGAAACCTTCCAGCCCCACGGCTCAGTGTGCCGAGGCTGAGAAACCCTGTTTATGTGAATTATCAGAATGAACAAATTACCTGCTATACATGATAGAATCCTCAGCATTTTTGTTTTTTTCACATCACAAAACGAAGTACTTTTCCGTACTTTTTTTAGAGTTTGGTCATCAAGCCAATGAAACAATGAGTCATGTGTACCCTGTTTGAAACTGCAGGACATAAATATATTCTTAAAGACATTAAGCAGAGACATAGTTCCTCCTATGGTTGTGTGTTAAGATCATTTTACCTTTTCTCACCTATTTGTAAATAAACCACCTTCAAACTTGAGAATAAGTTATTGCAAATTGCAGGGGGGAAAAAATTCTGTTTCCCATCAAAGTTGCAAGCACTGCCAACATTATTATAACCTGTATTATGCTAAGTTATTAAATTGTAACACATGTAGGTTGTCGCTGTGGAAGTCTGCAAGTAGAGTGAGGTATATAATATCACTGCAAAATAGGTGTCACTGCATTTCTAATTGTAGTAAGCAAGGCCGTCTTGAAAATTCTTTTCCCCATGCCTCCCGCTGTGACAGAGGGCAGGAAAGGAGATCTGGCAGGAACTGGAGAGAATGTGGATGCAGTTCACCCCGCTTAGAGAATGAAGCGGTGCTGCACTCCGTGGTCACAGCTAGCAGACTGTACTGGAGGAAAACGAATTTCAGAGAAATCAGCTGATAGAAATACAGTGTCTCAGTCCCTAATTTTTTTTTTTTTTAGCTGAGCCATCCTGCCACCTGTTGCCAGCTCAGCAGCTGCTCAGCTTGGGCCAGGACTCGAACTGCTGTTGCTCAGAGCTCGCACTTATGAGCCACCTCTTAACCAACTGAGCCACTCGGCCGTCCCTGCAGTTCCTATTTCAAACTAGAAAATATATGCATGTGCATCTTTGACCAAGCTGGGGGTAAAAATGGCATAACATGTCCATAAACAGTGAGCTAAGCCACAGTGACCCTGACCTCCTTTCACTGTAATCATTGAATATCAATTCCTCTCCCAGGTTCGCTGAAGCTGGGAATTTAGCTCTGAGGAGACTTAGGGAAAATGCCCCCATGTCCAATTTCTTGTCTCCTTTGGACACCCAGGCCTTCACACAGCATTGTTTGGATGTAGAGATTCGTAACATCTTTGTAAAGGCAGACTCTTCTGTTCCATATTTCATCAAGTACCTCCTAAAACTAATACAAAAAAGCCATCTCTTTCATGAGGTACAAGCAAAAGTCCAGACACCATTCTGTTACTAGTTTTTTCTATCCCTGGACAATGCTTCTCTCCCCTCGACACGCAAAAACAATATGGTGGCTCTGCTCAACCCAGCAGTCATCATTTCTAAACCCGAATATGTATTATATGCATTGATTAATGATGACATCAGAGATGTAATAGGTGAATATTTTCTTTACATTTATGTAGCAGAAGGGCCATGCTGGAGATTTGAGAAAAAGAAATAGTTGGTTCCAAAATCAAATAAAGTCCACTGCTGGTATGGCAAATTAATTGTGATATTTAGAAACAGTTTTCTTCAACTTAGTTTTAGTCA